ACCGCAAACAGTCACTCTTTATCGTCAGGGCAATGATATCATAGTTAGCTGTCAGGTGTTTTAAACAATTTTTATTTTTCTCAGTCAATTCTTTTATGCTTACCTAAAAAGTTGATACTCAATATCATTTAGTGAGCTTGTTCATGGTAACAAAATACCAAAATACTTTTCTAATAGTTTGACATAGAATAGTAATAGATGTTTGAGTGTTCCAATTATGGTAGACGGAATTTTGGATGAACTACGCCAACTTTACCGTAAGTTAGACGATAATTTAGAGAGAAAAGACTTTGAAAAAATTAAATATTTGTTAATAGATAATCAACTTAATAAAAGTGACATACAACTCATTAACAGTCCAACAGAACTATTTTTGAAGCTGGAAGATAAAGGTCACATCAGTAGAAATAAATTGAGTTTATTGAAAAAACTGCTTCGGGATATAGAAAGGTCTCCCCTGATTAAAAAATATGTGGAGCCCACAGAAATGGCTCTGGCAAAGAAGACAACAATTACTGAAGTAAAACCATCTATTGAGGAAAAAAAACCTGTTGAAAGATTATCAAATATGGAAGGTGGTGGGACAACCGTTCGGCACAGACAACAGGACAGAGGGGACTACAAGGAACAACCTCAACACAGCAATGGGAATCCAAAGCCGAAGAAACCCCAGACAGGTATACATACAAATTCTATACAAATTCCGATATGGTTTACAAATAATCTGCACTGTATTTGCTCTATTAGAAACAGATCTACAATAAAAGTTGACTTATACAATGGTTTTTGTATACAAGATAGTAAAAATTATTTTAATTAAAGATGCATATCTTCATTTACATGTCCTATGATATTTACTTCCTTTGCATGCTTGTACATACAACACCAAAACATGTAACATTTTTATAATATAGATTAATTTAAATACAAGTTCTAAATTGTTAAGTAGCCACTATGGTACCAAAATAATCAAAACTTGTGTTTAAGGAAATATATGGCTATATAGACTTATCCGAGTGAAACTTATTTACCTCCCTCCGTGCTGAATCTCAGCTGGCATTGCATTTCATGAATACAAGAATCAGAACTCATGCACTATTTATTCTCCTTCTTTCTATCACCCAGATAATCTACTTTTTGTACAATTATTAAATCTTGACTTTTTTATTATTTTCAGGTGGTTAAATTTAAAATAAACCATCCTTTTTTTGCCTTGATTTTAGATTTAACCAGAAATCTTCATCACTTATGTATGGCTTAAACAATTCCAATGTTGCACTTGCTTTTCCCCCAGTCTCTAAAAATAAAACTTGGCTATTTATAAAAATGTTGGGTAAAAAGTTAAATATATTTTAGGTGACACGTAAATTGGTTATAGCAGGATTGGCATCGTTCATTCTAATGGAATGGTCAGAGTAAGAAACAAATTAGAACATGTACTAGTATTTACTCGTTGACTTTCAACCGAGTATTGAAAGCAATGTTACTCAATTATGACAAGGCACAGCTAGTTTACAGACTGCTTTGGAGTTAAGTTACACCTGGAGTGTACTGTGTTTGTTTTAGTATTTTTAAATCTGGGATATTTTTGATTTGCAGACATTTGTTTTCAACGCTGTTGCATTATTTTTGTTGCATCTGCATTTGTCATACTTGGACTTGGCTATTATCTACATGTGAATGGGACTTTTATTTCAGGTAAGAAGAGTGCTTGGGAGAGCTATGCTGTTAAATTCTCCCCACAATGAACTGACACTTTGTGGCCTTAATTTACAAGTATAATAAGTGACCAGGGAGTAGCATACTGATAAATCCTAGGACTCAAGGTCACTTATAATAAATGTATATAGTTATGATATATGGCTGCTGGTTGTAACTATGCATCTGACCAGACAACTATGCAAATGCTCATGTATAATATAATCAGAAACCAATCAGAACTTGTGTTACAAACCGCTTTTCAGAGAAACTTTTTGATTGAAAATCTTTTTGATTATAGCATCCCCTTATTGTTTGACATTCCATCACAAGAAAACTTTGCTGCATAAGTAGTTGATCAGAGATTGTAATGTTTACAATAGTTGTATTTTAAAAATAGCAGGAAACGAGTGCTTAACTCAACCTATGTTGGGTCACGATGTTTAAAATCAATCAATATGAGTTGTAATAACATATCTAATATTTTTTTATATAAGAGACAAGAAAATAAAACATCAGTGTTCCTTATTTTGTACATTTAAAAATATGAAATATTTTTTTTACGTGAAGTTGTCTATAAGATTCAACAGCCTATTTTTTCAAACCTATTTTTTTCCTATCACTAATTTTATTTACAAATCAATATTGATTAATTTTTAACCAATATATATATATCTCATTTGCTATACACCATACAGTCGCTGGGGACACTGAGAAAGTAATTCTGCACTCGAGAGATAACCAGGAACTTGATCAAGTGGTTTCCGACAAAGAAGCAAAGCAGGAAAAATGTACGTACACCAACTGAAATATATGTACATGCTTCATTTCAAAAAACCAAAATAATAGCCAGAAAGAGCATTTTGCCAACGCTGACATGAAGTAGACTTGATGGATACAAGGAATGGATGGTAATAGAGTGATGATAAGGGTCAAGGGGAGAGTGGGGTGAAACAATCATCACTCAATGGCCTCATATTCATACAACAGTGAAAGTAGATGCTGATACTAACATGAGTTAGTAAAGCACGCTCTCGTCGGAGAAAAATATCTTGAATGTGAAGCAAAAATAATAAGTGTGGTTCGATTACATTCACTAAAATTTGTATTTTTTTGAGAAAATGTTGTCTTTCTTTAGACATATTTGTTTGTGATTACAAAAATCATTAATATGTTTAATCATATTTTACAAGAAGCTCTCCTTATCCTGGGAAAAAAAATAATCAAAAAGGCAATGCGTTTAGCTAGGGGAGGTTTATTTGAACCCGGCATATTGTTTTTATTTTGCCTAAGCTTGTTAAACACAATTAATAAATTTAACATCAAAATTGTTTTCAAAATTTGTCAAACATGGACTTGCACAGAGAGAGGCTCATCAACAAAATTATATCGAAAATTTTGTCAGCAATAGTTGTGATCATAAATACTTAAAATAAATAAAATTAACAAAAACATTTTTTTTTTAAGTTGCTTATCCATTTTCCAACTATTCGGCTAAAACAAACCAACTTTTATAATGTGTATTTTTTAAGAATTATTCTAATGTATGTCACATTTTTCATTCACTAGTTGCCACGGACACCAAGCAAACACCTCAGCCATCAAGAAATAAACAAGAAAGTGATAAAGTCGACTTAAACAAAGAAAATGTGCAGAAAAATGGTAAGTAAAAAATTAAATCTAGACAAGACAAATATAGTATGTAATATAGTATGTGTTTTTTGTGTGCTGAAATTACAATGTAAACAATGCAATGTCATGTGAACAGTTTTGTCTTTAAATACTATAGATATGGTTTGCACTGGATTAGATAGTAAGGATCAAAGGTACATGGTTACTATGTGCATAATAAAATGACCTTCCCAGTCATTTAAACTACACACTAGGTTTACCTAGGTTAATAAGGTATAACTCTGGTTCATAGGTTATACCTTTCAGTTTAATAAACATCATCAACACTCATTTTCTAAGCAATAATTAATAAGATGCTAAATAGGCATGATACAATTTAAAGCAACACTGAAAAAAACAATTTACAAGATTGTGTCTGTGTGAATATTTGCATGCACTGCAGGGCTTCTAGTTACATGATATATTAATGTGTCATGTAATGTAAACAAAGGGAATTATTATGCAAATTTGAAACATTGGAATGAGTGCAGATTCGAATAAATGAAAATACAGTTTTTTACAGGAAGATAAATTCTGTTGTTATTCATGCCTAATCTATAATATTGTTTTATTTGTTTTAAAATGGATGTACTTGACTAGTAAATAAGTTGTAAATACTTGATTAAAAAATATTTGTTTGTAATCACTTAACAATTTATTGTTTATTTTACAGATTCAAGTAAACCATGTGAAAAGTTGAAGTCACATGATGAGAGGTGAGAATTGTCAGCTTGTTGATTCTGTAGGTGACTAAATATTCTGTACAATTCGCTTAGATGGGGAAGGATGGTGCATCTCGCAACCAACATTAGTTCTATCAATTATAGTGACTATGTTCATTCTGACTATAAATTCCATAGAAACAAGGATGCCATGCTTGCTGTTGACATTGTTACAGGGGCCACAGAGCAACTTAGTAAGAGTCACTGGGCATCTGGAGGTGGGGGAGTTATTATACAACTTGGGGCACTTCAATCAACTCAGTGGGACAACTAAGCAACTTTGTAGGGCCCCCATGCAACTAGGTTGGGGTGACTGGGCAACTTGGTGGAGATCACTGAAAAACTCTGGGAGGTTGATGAACATGTTGAGGAGACTACAGTGGTCACTGAGCAGTCTGGCTGGACCACTTAGCAGCTTGGTGAGGTCACTTAGGAGCTTGGAGGCTCACTGATCACTTAGAAAATTGGAGAGGTCACTGAGCTTGCTGGCGTGCAGGTCATTAGCAGCCCAATAAGGTCACTGAACTTGGTGAACAACTAAACATGGTGGTATGGTCACTGAGCACTGAGTAACTTTGCAACTTTTTGGGAATCTCTGAGCAACTTGGCGCAGCTAGTGATGAACATTTGGAGGGCAAGTTGGTGGAGATCACTGAGAAACATGGGGTAGGTGGGTAATTTGCTGAACATGTTCAGGAAGTCACTGAGCAACTTGGTTAGGTCATTGGCAAATTCAATAGAAGCCACCGATCAACTTGGTGGGACCCTCAGGACTATCAAGTAACTTGGTAGGGTGGTGGTCACAGAAAAACTTGAGGTGGTTGCTTAACATGGTTTGGAGATCCCTGAGCATGTTGGTGTGATCACAGCATGTTGATATGGTCATTGAGCAGGTGACTTGGTGACTCACTAGCCATGTTCTTTGATCACTGAGCAAATAAGGGAGGTTACTGTGCATGTTCTTCTCTGTGCACCTTGATAAGGTCACTGTACAACTTAGTGCCTTACTGAGCATGGTGGTATGGTCACTGAGCATGTTGGTGAGGTCAATGAACAATCCGGCTGGGTCATTGAGCAACTTGGTGATGCAACTGAGGACAATTTAGAAGTTGTTGAGCAACTTGGTAAGGTCTCTGTGAAATTTTGTGAGGCCACTGAGCAGCTTGCTAAGGTCACTGAGCGTCTTGCTGAAATCACTATGTAGCTTGGTGAGGTCTCTGATAACCTTGGTGTGGTCACTTCATCTTTGTGCAGGTCAATGAGGAGCTTGGTGAGGTCATGGACTAACTTGGTGAGGTAACTGAGCAGGTTTGTTAGGCCACTAAACAACTTGGTGACTCACTGAACTTGTTGGTATGGTCACTGAGCTTGTTGGTATGGTCATTTGCGCAGTCTGATCAAGCACTGAGAAAACATGTTGGGAGTCACTGAGGAACTTAGGAACGCTGTTGAGCAACCTGGTGCATTCATAAAGATTGACATATCACAGCTTTGGCATTAAATTTATTTGATGTATTTTTTATATCTGCATCGTAGGAGCATCCTGATACTTAATGATGAGTGGAGTACTACAAAGGGAGGTGTGTCCAGTTTCCATCGTCATGTATCTATACTTGCTAAACAAACTGGTGTTGAGGTCTATGTGACTGCACTGACAGCAACATATGAAGACTTGAATGATGCAAAGGCAAAAGGAATTAATTTAATTGTGGCTGAGAAAAAGGGTGAACACCCAAATATGAATTGGTTGAGTACTTACCGGTATGCTCATTTTCCAACATTGTGCGCAATTCAGAAAATTAACGTTATTATCGGTCACATTCCAATTACAGGAGAAGAGGCGATTAAGTTGAAAAGTGATTGCTATCATGATGCCAAAGTGTTCCTGTTTTTGCATGTTATTCCAGAAGACACTTTAATGCACAAGGAAGGGTGGAATCCACGACAACTGGAGGAAGAAGCAACTAAGATTCAGAAACAAGCAGAAAATTCTAGTGCAGTGTTTTCCGTTGGTCCGAAGATTTATAACCACTATGATGCTGATTTCAAATCTGCATCTGTTGATCACAGAAAATATTTGCCTCTACCAGAAGAGGAATATTTTCATGTGAATCTCATAACACCAGAAAAGCATCATAATAGAAAAGTGCTTACAGTTGGTAGAGTGAAGGGTGTTGGTAATCTAAAGGGTTATGAATCGTGGCTAAGGCATTAAGTGCTAGTGCAGACTTGTATCGTAAAGCCGGCCGAACTGCACTAACATGGGTCATCCGTGGACTAACTGATGAATGCTGGGAGAAAGTTGAACGCTATAGACAATCCTCTTCTCTTAAAATTCTTCCACAGATCTATGGAACACAAGATCAAATACGAAGAGATCTTAAGCGAAGTCACCTTTTCACCATGCCATCACGCAGCGAGCCCTTTGGTTTAGTGGGGTTAGAGGCAATGGCCGCTGGCGTTCCTGTTCTCGTTACTGCAAACTCGGGCATGGCTGAGTTCATC